CCCGAACCCGATTTCATACCATTCAACCAACCACCAGTATATATTCTGCGATCCGCATACAGCATTGTACCCGATCCATGCATCTTGCTGTCAAACCAATGACCATCATAAATATCGCCAGTCGACCGGATCATTGCACCACGACCACTTCTTCTATCATTCATCCACCCACCTGTATATATACTACCGTCAGCATATTTTAATGTGCCTGACCCATTTCTCTTGTCATCGGCCCAATTACCACCGTATTTCTCGCCGTCAAAAGAAGATCGTACGCCTAAACCCGATCTTTTGTCATTGATCCAACCACCAGTGTATATGCTGCCATCAGAGTAGTTATGTGTCCCAGTACCATTTCGTTTTCCGTCAGCCCACTTCCCTTCATATTCGCCACCATCGGAGAAAATGAAGACGCCTGAAACCTGCCGTGCACTATCAACCCGGGAGGCTGTGTATGTTTGATTGTCGATGTAGTTTTGTCCATCATGGTCAGTAAACACAACTACAGACGAATTGTTATCATCGTTGACACCATGTCGGTGGACTGTGTCGTTGGCAAATTGATAAATGTTGGTACTGTTGGTTTCCTCTTAAACAAATCACAATCGTAGATAGAAAATGGTGAGCAAGAACTTTATATTTTATATTCTGAAGCTTATGAATGAAGTACAGACTCAATACAAAAAGAAAATATCTCCAGTGGAAAAAAGTTCTCAGACATACATAAAAATCTATCAATAGAATTCAACGGTCTCTACATCCTCGTTCAGCTGTAGTACATTCATATATTCTCTGTGATATCGAAAATACAAGGTTTTCACATAATTCAGGTCTAATTGTCAACTACTCCGCTGATATTTCAATTTCTTATCGATAATCAACTGCAAATTTTCAATAGGATGTAAGGGTGTGATTGTATGTATTGTGCTTATCTCTGATCTACATCCTCAAGCTACTACCAGTGTTCGATTTTACATTTGGGAAAGATTTTTCTGTTAAGAACGAAGTATCGATTGTTAAATAAACTATATGCGAATCTTCTATGGGGAAATTTTGTTTTTCATATGTAATCTTTTGGTGTTCTGTACAGTTTTATAACTTATACAAAATAACAATATCTCAAAAATGTAAAAAACTTGTAGATGAAATTTTATCTTGGCATGGTTTTCACAAAAGATAATCATTAAAAATATTGTTGATCAATTATAAGACAATTACAGTTTTATATGAACAAAAAAACATATAGCATCAACGAAATAAAATGTAATAATATATAATTTTTCTATGACTTGCTATTGTATTGATGTATAAGTTAATCATTCTAGAGATTCTATTGTTAGAAAAAATCTCCTCGACAGTTTGCGATGATGTTACTACATTAGAAGGAACTATATGTTGAGTATCAAGCATCTTAAGATTTGTAAGAAGAGAGAAAGAGAAATTTTTCTATTATGTACGAAAAGTTTTGACTCATCCTATAATGATCAATACTACAACTTACCATAATCATCGAATGCTCGTCCGTTTACGTGACTAAAAAATGATATTTCCAATAACAGTATCACACAACAAAGCAGGAGCTTCGTTTGTATTCCAAATATATTCATGTGGAAATACTTCTTCAAAACAATTATATCAAATGAATAATGCAAGTCTTGGCATCATATCATTGTATATATATGTATATACAAATTATCTTGATGTGCGATGAAAATATTTACTGTCATCGAAACATAACGCCAAGTATAAACTATTTGATATGGATTTGTTGAAATATACATTAGACTGAAGATACGTTATTATTGATGATACCAAATGTTTTTCTATTCTGTCTTCAATATATCGTCGAACCATTTTACCAAGTAAATATTTTTTTAGTTGTATGATGAAAGCCTTGATTAATAATAATAATGTAGAAAAAGTGTCGTTCTATTTCTTGCACATAATACTTGGTCTGAGACTTTCGTGAGAAGTAGCGAAGACCGATATATACTTGTGCAAACAATCAATCATAAGTCGAAAAATAACAATAGTTTCGACATGTCGTTTTAAAATAATCAAAAAAATACGAAGTTCTTTTTGTGTTAATTATTTAATATTTTAAATACTCATTAGGATTCTGCGTTACAATCAAAAAATTAGCGTAAGAAAAAGAAAAGAGATTTGTAATCTAATTTTTACTATCATCGTTTGTTAGAGATGTCGAACTAGTTGAATGATCTAATAATAATAATTGATTTTCTTCTGTTTGTCAGACATAGAATTAATGTATTTTGTTGATGTTTCATTATTATAAAGGAAAGATAATTTAAAAACTATACATTACTCCATAGAATAATTATACAATATCAATTGCCATTAAGATCTCTATGATCCACATGTATAATTCCATCAGTTGAGGGTGAGGATTTCAAAGATATATGTAATATCTATACCTTCGCCCACACTGTGTAAAAAAAGAAGTATTATATGTCTTTTTACTAACGGCAAGAGTACACATGTATTCGGAATAGAATTTTTGTTTTTATTTTATGAAACCAATTAAAAATATTTATATTGTTGTGATACAAAAAGAATTTCATTCGTCTATATAATAATTTTACTTTCAATGAAGAAGATCATTTTTCACGTTTTACATGTCATAACAACATATCATTATCATTACTTCGTACAAACAAAAAAATTCTTTATTGACCTAATTGAGTACATTATTAATTACCCAGATGAATAAATCCAATCAACATCTATTTTCTGTTCTTGAGGGTGTGAATGTGAGTATGGGTGGATGTGTGCAGGGAAAGAATTCACACCCTCAAAACAAAAAAGGTGTTGCATTTTTTGATTTTCAGAAATTGAATTAAATATGCTAAAACAATTATTAAATATTTATTTCAATTTCTATGAAAAATAGAACAAATCTTTTTCAAGGTTTCATTAAGAGAAATCAAATAAGAAAAAATTCGTTCATCAAAACTATTTGAAATTAGAAATTAAATTTGAATTTTGTATCATTTCAAAAGTTTAATTTTATCTGAACTCTTGGTTTTATCTGTTTGAAAATCTTTTTAATATGTTTTTTTCAACAAACCTCATTTTGAATTCGATTTTTCTTTTCAAGTTCCGTAGAAGATTCGTTCTCTCTTCATTTTCGAATTATTTTCTTTTCTTATCTTCCATAAAATTCAACAAAATTATCAAATCAAGTTAAATTTTCAAGAAAAAAATCGCAAAAGACTTTTCTTCGTTGTTTTATTCAATAAAAATTCCATTCACAATATTATTTCAAATTTTTGAATTCGATGATTATACAGATCAGCAACATAAAGATTTTCTTCATCATCAAAAGATAAACCACCGGGTCCTAACAAATGATTTGATTGATTTCGTTTTCTATTTTCACCAACAACAACTTCACCTTCTTCTTTTCCTTCACACCAACGCATTACTCGATGATTCGAAGAATCTGCCACATAGATCTGACCAAAATGATCAACAATTACTCCATGAGGGTAAGACAATTGATTGAGATTTTCTCCTTTACCATTTCCTCCAGCCACAATTTTTCCTTCTTTTGCATCTTTTTCCCATTTCATCACACGATGATTGCCTTCATCTGATACATAAACAGATTGATCTTTATCAACAAACATAAACTTAGGAAAATTAAGTTGATTAAGTTGATTTCCGTGCCCATTTCCACCTGCCACTACAATTCCTTCGTTGTTGTATTCTCCCATTTTCCATCGCCTCACTTCATGCTTCTCAAAATAAGAAACATAAAGAAATCCATATTTATCCATTGACAGACCATAACAGTCAATATTGTCAATGAGAATTTGTTGGTTTTGATTTAACCATTCAATCACTCGTCTATTCCCATAATCAGCAATAATGATCGAATGATTTTGTTGATCAATAGTCACATCTGTTGGTCGATTTAATTGATCCGTTCGATTTCCTCTGCCATTTCCACCTGCAATGATTTGTCCTGCTTTTGCATTATATTTCCATTCAACTATACGATCATTATATGAATCAACAATGAAAATATTTTTCTTATCATCAATAAAGATTCCTTCAGGGTAATTAAGTTGACTTAATTCTTTTCCTTGTCCATTTCCACCAGCTACAGTGATGGCATTTCGTTTCCATTTGTTGAATTTTGATTCTAGAGAATGATGAAAACAAAAGGTTACGATGAAAAGAAGCAGAAGAAGAAAAGTTGTTTTTAATCGAAGAAAAAGAAAAAACTTATTTTAAATGAAATGCTTATAAATATGTTTAATGAAAAATCAAATTTGATTTAATTTTTTTGCTCATTTTTCAAAAGAACTTATTGATAAAAAAATATAAATTATACGAAGTTCTGTATTTGGAAAATCAAAATGAATTCTTTTTAAAAGACTTAACAAAAAATCGTTTGTTGTTTTTTTGAACAGAATTTATTAAAATGAAATGAAGAAATATTTTGTTTCGAAAAGAATAAAGTATTTGGAA